ATTTTTCATTGGTAGCAAAAATCTCCCACACTATATCAACAATATCTTCTTCTTCTAATGGTTCTTCATGTGCTTTATTTGCAGTGTCTTCCCATTCTAGGTCATACGAAATGTCAGCTTAATATTGTTTATCCCACTCCCACTTTTCATTTTCTTCAAATAGCACATCTTTGCTAATATATAATCCTCTGTGAAATTGGATCATAAAGCCTGTAAACCTTTGACTCATCACTAACTCCAAGTAAAACACACCTCAAGCTTTTCCTATCCAATTTAGTCCTTGTACTACCAAGTACATGAACATACGAGATGCAACCAAATATTCTGAAGTAATGAATTGAAGCTTTAATTCCATTCTAGGCTTCTTCAGGTGTCTTATTTTTCACTGCCAATGTTGGGCTGCGATTCAAAGCATGTATCGCCTAATTTACTGCTTCTGGCCAAAACGTTTTGGGCACATTCTTTTTAGACAGCATACTGCGAACTAAATTCATAATGGTTCGATTCTTTCATTGAACGACTCCATTCTATTTTGGCGAATATGCTGCTGTCAGTTGTCTCTGTATTCCATGCTCATCACAAAACCTACTAAATTCATGTGATGTAAATTCTCCCCCACGATATGTACATAAGACTTTAAGGGATAAATCTATTGCTTTCTTGTCAAATAAGTTGAAACTCTTAAAAGCAGCAAAGGCTTCTGATTTTTCTTTCAAAAAATTAACCCATGTTTTTCTGTTATAATCATCTATGAAAGTAATCAAACACCTTCTTTTGCTGTTAGAGGCTAGCTTAATCGGCCCATAAATATCAGCATGTATGAGCTGCAAGATTTGTGAAGCTCTTCAAGTACTTTTCTTTAGAAATGGATCTCTTTGTTGCTTCCCCATAAGACAATCCTTACACAGCTTTGAGGGAGACTTCAGCAATGGCAGGCCATTTCTTATTTATTTCTACTATAAAGTTTGCAAGCCTTTAGAGCTCAAATGCCCAAACCTGTAGTGCCAAAGCTGTGCCACATCTTCTATAACTGTGTTAAAACAAGCGGGTGCTATGAGCAGAGATATAGCATGTAAAATAAACATCCAATTAGTAGACATATTTGCTTTCATAATTAAGCCTTTCTCAGCGTGATATACTTTACATTACTTGTGCTGAAACATAATAGTTAGTCCCTTTTTCTTGTATTTATCCAAGACTCAGCAGATTGTTCTTCAATTTTGGCATATAAAAAACTCCAGTGATAATGTTGATAATTCCATTTATCTCTAACCTAATATTGCCCTTCCCATTGACCAATAGATTTGAGTTGTTGCCAAGCTTTACTGAATCTATGAAATTGTTATCAAAATCTGAGAAATACTCCCTCTTTTCGCATATATGATTACTACAGCCAGAGTTAAGAAACCACATATCTATTTTATAAATCTTTTTTTCTTCAACATATGCCATGAACAATATCTGTTCTTGACTTTCTGCATAGTTAGCCTCTCCCTTCTGCTTAGTTGGACATTCCCACTGAAAATACTTAAGCATGTGATAAGAATAGCATTCAACCATTACTTTATCAAAGCTTTGTCCACCTTTTCCATGGTCTCTGCCTTCATAACTCCTATGTCCTCGTCCTCGTCCTGTAAATTGGCCTCCTTGAGTCACCTTCAAAGCATGTTCTTCTTCTACATTGTAACTCATGCATTGTTCATGCACAAGTAAACTACTCTGCAACTCATCAATTGATAAGGTACTCGTATCCTTGGATTCTTCAATAGAGCACACGACATAATTGAACTTGGAAGTCATTGACCTCATAATTTTTTCCACAACAGCAACATCTCCCTTATCTTCACCATTTGCTTTCATTTTATTAGCAATAACAAGAGTATGAGCAAAGTACTCATTCATAGATTCTCCTTCCCTCATATGGAGAACTTCAAACTCCCTCCATAAAGCTTATAAATGAGCATGTTTAACTTGTGTTGTACCTTGATATTTCTGCTTCATAGAATCCCAGATATTCTTCGATGTGTTTTTGTTGATGATTGTCTCCAGGATAGAATGATCTAATGCTTGAAACAGATAGTTCTTGGCTTTCAGATCCTTCAATTTCTAATCTTCATAACTTTTCTTCTTCGTGTCAGTAGTAGTCACACCTTCTGCTGCTATAAGAATTCCATTTTCTACCATGCCTCAATACTCCTTTGATCGAAGGAAATTCCTTATGAGCATTGCCCAATGATCATAATGACCATCAAAATTTGGCACTGATGGTTGAACAAAAGTACTCTCTACTGCCATGCTTTGAGCAATATCTTCGTAGAAGACTACTGCTTCTAAAGAGCCCCATAACTAGGCTCTGATACCAAATGTAAAAGTTAAACAAGAAAGAAAAGTACTTATTAAATTAAAAACGACTTAGGCTATATATAGCCTTACACAACAAATTGAACATAAAAAAATAAGCAACCTACTGCTAACAAACTTTTAAAAGGTAAGCAGTACCAATCCCATGAAAACAGGGATTTAGTTACGGACTAAATCTTAACAATATTGATTGAGTCCTAACATCCTTCTTATTCTTTTAGGTAGTTTAGGACTTTAATCATATTTTGGAGGTGTTGTCTCAACATGGGACAAATAAACACCCTAAATATAGTGTTTTTTCACGTCTCTGATCAAATTAATTTTTTTGTTTCTTGTCTCCTAACAAATCTTTTCAAGATGCACTACAAGTAATTAATTAATTAGTTCTCTCTACCAACTTAATTGTTAATTTAGTCTCTGTGCTAAATTAATTTATTTGCTACTGGACCTTCATTAATAATGTAGTTGGCAGCGTTAAATAAATCGTATAATCAAATAACACGTGCCATTTGATCTCATTGATCCCAATTGTTTTTCTATCCATATTTATTACATAAAACAACTATTAAAATTATATCAAAAAAAGTTTGAATTTTTTTCTGATTTCAATAAATGCTTTATGTAATAAAAATAAGGTGAATCTTTAGTTTTTAATTTTTATGAATGCTTTCTATAATATAAAATAGGAAGAAAAATAATTTTGGAATTTTTTTCTAATTTCAATAAATGCCTTTTGTAATAAAAAAATAGCGATGGATCTTTAATTTTTTATTTCTATTTTTTTTATAATTTCAATAAGTGTTTTTTTTTTGTAATAAAAATTAACTAACGATGTGAACGATGTTAAAAGATAGGTGTCATTTTATTATGTAATTTTCTTAATGTCGTCAAGATTATCACTAGCAAAGTTCCCATGCTAAATAAATTGATATAATACAAGGACCCGATCAAAATTTAAATTGATAGAATAATATGATTAATTAATTGCTTGTAATATGGTTGACCCTTTTCCAAATAAACAAACAACATAGATATATATATACATGAGACTCTAAGTAAATTTCCAGGAAAATATCCAGTCAAACCGAAGGGAAAGATTTAAAAACATTAACAATTCAATGGCTCGAGTTGGTCGTGTTATTAGGAAAATTATCATTATCATTATTATTATTTTACAAGTAATGCGTGCACGCCTAGTTATTGAAAGAATGCGTGTAAATTTTCTTGGATAAAGGGTATTGTTTTTTATTTTTAACTTTCTGAAGTTAAAAATCAAGCCCTATTTGAAAAGTTAAGGTGAGACATGTGTTTACGCCGAACGGAATACAGTTTGTCTTCTAATAAAAAAAAAGACAATTTATCTTTAAAAATGTTTAAATTAGAGAACTATAAAAAATAATTTGAATTTGATTTGAATCTCTATATTTTTTGTGGATTTAAATTTCACTGCTCCATTATTTTTCACTAGCCTCAAATGTTACTGATTTCCCATGTTTAAAAGTTCTAATTATCTTCACATTCAGAAAATATTAAGAATCAATAAAGAAAGAAAGAAAGAAAAATATTAGGGAAATTTGATTTTCCTTGACTGTTATCAAATTCTAAAATATAAAATCAGTTGTAAGATTTAAGTCGTGATTGTTGACATCATACCGTTATTACCATGTTTTAATAAATTACGAGGAATTGCGAATTTATTATTTTGTCATGCATTATATTTTTCACAATAATTTATGATAGTAATTAACAAAATAAAAATAAAAGTTGTGCTTTTGGTCCTTTTTTAAAACAAATTTGTTTTGATTATGAACTTTATGTGTATTGCATTCTAGTCTCTACAAACATGGAGGAGAAGGAAACAAAAAAAAGAGGAAGGGGAGGGGGAGAGAGAGAAGAGATCAAGTTCATTCCAACCTTCTTGACCGTCAAAACTACCTTTAACTTATTTGATTCGGAGAAGAGAATTTGATCATTGTGGTCACAAACTATAAAATAGTTAAAGAAAATATACCAGAATTTTAAAAAGGCTTATTATACCAAAAAAAAAAAATCATGAACTTTATTTTTTATTTTTAACTATATTAGCATTTTCTTTTAATATTAGAGAGAAAATACATAAACCAATATTCTAATAACCATATTAGCACGCATGAATTTTTTCGATTTAAATTCTGATTTCAACTTACGTGACATGAGAGATAAGATGACAATATAACTTATATGATAAATTAGCTCCTCGATTATGAACTACATGTCAATCATTTCACTCCCCTCTTTCTCTTTGATTAAATTCGGTTGGATGTAATTACTTTCAAGTTTTAAAATTTATCTCAATCGACTCCTGTAACTCAAAAGAAATCGATTATATCAGTTTCAAGCTTCGATTTGGTAGAAAAATCACAAAAAATACTCCACGTTAACATTTGCCATAACTGACTATCGACCCCATTTTCCAACTTACTCCAGCATTTCCCTCCACGTTAATTGGTCGAAAAAGGTCAATAGAGGTGTGAGAAATGGTTGTGTGGTGGTTTTGGCCATGATTTGGCTTGAAAGTGGAGTACATCACGAGTCCTAGTTGAGGGTTACAAGGGTCGTGGGTTGTTTTCCTCCTTCTCCTATCGTTTTCTGTCACCGTCATGCGGAGAAGGACTATTGGGACAGTGATGCATTGTTATGTCAAGGTTTCGGCACTTGATTTGGCCGCCAAGAGAAAGACCTATTGTCGAGTGTGGTTGGCCATCAAGTTAGGGTATGTTTGACTGGTATGGAATCCAACGTGACATTTATGTCATGTACTCATCCTATCTCCCACACCATGCTAGGTAAAATCGAAATTTAAGCTGAAAAAATTTACACGTGCTAATATAGCTATTGAAAGCTTAGTTCATGTCTTTTTTATACAACATTAAAAGCGCATACTAATATTATTTAAAAAATATACAATTCGTAATTTTTTGGTACAATAAGCCTTTTAAAAAAATTGAGTTTGATTTAGATTTTTATGTGTTTTATTTGCATTAAAATGATTTTTTAGACTCTAAATGAGATTATGAACCTTATTTAGGTAATTTTGAGGTTTTGTTTTGGCAAAACGATATTGAATTTTGGTTAGAGAGCTTGAAAACTAAAAAAATCCATTTTTTTGGGGTGAATTTTCTAGCCAATCAAAGTTGGTTGGATATTATAGACGAACGATACATCGTATTCTGTGGCATAAGAGGACGATGATTTATTTGTTTTCTATTTCTCTTTTCTTTTCACTCTAGCTGATGCGGGCCTGGAACCAAAACCATGCACGTAGGCCTGGGCCTTAGTTGGTTTTTTCGGCTTTCTTCTTCTTTTTTATTTTCAATTATTTACTTTTTTTATTGAAGATTTTTAAGCAAAAATTATGAAAGATCAAACGTGATTTTTTGTATTTTTCACACAATCTAACTATAAAGAAATATATATTATATATTAAAATAAACATATATTCCATATAATATCACTCTTATTATTTAAAATTCATTCCTTCATTTTTTTCATTTTTTAATGAAAATTCTCATCCAATGAATTTTTATTTTTTATAAAATTTAATTTGCTGATAAATATGATTTGTTTTCCCTCTATATATGGATTTTGGAAAAAATTAATTTAGAACATGATTTTTTTTATTTTTTTAAAATTAAATTGATATAATTTATATAATGAATTCTTAGATTTTTCAAACGATGGTGACAATATTGTAAATATATAATTAATCTAAAGATTAAAAATGTATTTCAGATAATACATCTCTAATATTTTTTTTTATGATTTTTGCTCGTGCGTCACACTCTTTACATGCTAAGTATAGTTATGAAACATATAAAAAAATAAATTAAATTGTTAGTTTTATCAAAAATTAATTATGTATCTATACACATAACACCAATCATTTGCTATTAATTTTTTTTAGTATCATAAAACTATTTTTTTGAAATAATATTTTAAAAAACTATCCAATGATTCAAATATATTTTTTCATGATAACATTATTAATTATTTAGTGAATACATATATATAATCAAATGTAAATATTTTGAAAAAATAATCTTGTTATTAGCATTAAATAAGAATAAAAAATATTTTTTTGATATAATTTTATGAAAATATATATTTTTTATAGCAATTTTTTGAATTTTGGATTAAAATTTTAATTTAAGTTATAACAAATTTTTGTGTTAAGAATCAATTCATAAATAAAAACGAATCATATTTTTTTCACCTTTCATTCTACGTGTTTCGATAGATCCATAATATGGGGTAATATAATAGCATGATCTATTTCTCATGGAGGGAGCATTTTTCCGTTGTACTTACTACCCTTGCTGCGTCCTTTTTTTCTTCGATAGACAGTCTCCAGTCTAGAGTTTAGCCTATTGTAGAGTTTAGACTGTTCAACATATGTAGCTATATCTAAAATAACACTTTAAAACTACCACCAAACCAATTTCTTCAGGGACTGAAAAGTTAAAGCAGTGATAGAAATGGAACTGGGATTAATATAATTAATTAGGAAACAATAATAATATAGTAATAATACTGAATTATTGAGTTGTTGGATTCAGTAAAATGGTGGTTGATACTGGTACTGGTATAGTATCCAAAAAGTTAAAAAAGTGTCAGAAGTCTGCAACTGAGCGAGAGAAAGGAAGAGAGCGTGTGATTCTCACTAGCCACTGCCCTTTTAGCTTGGCAAACAGTGCACGTTCTGTACAGATTTTCCTGACTAACCTCCCTCGCTGCACTGTACTCTTGCTGTAGTGATGTAATCTTTCTTAAGATTCACAGTCAGATTTACTTATCAAAAATGGCAATACATAGTTTATTGCTGCAGGACTGAGCCGTTGGCTGCCCATCAATGGCCACTTCATTTCTCTTGCAAACAATAATAAGAACCATTGGGTTAAGTTGATTAATGCATTTATCAAGTTGGTTTGAGGGTCTGGATTTGTTTATTCTGTATCCATTAATTAGACGCACAAGAAGCCCTCTCGTTCAATTATTTGGTCAAAGTCTCTCTGTCCCATCAGCTTCTCTTTCAGCGTCACCAGGTCCTTTTTCTCTTCTTTTTTCATGAGCACGGGCACCAATTGTGGGGGCTTAAACTGGTAATTCCACCTTCTCTTTGGCAAACAAGGTGAGCTTGAGCTCAATGGGCTGAGTAATAAATCATCACTATTGGGTTTGGATGAATTGCTGCCTAGAGATTTTTTTTTCCAAGAAAAAAGAAAATATAATTGAGTAAAAGAGCTAAATTTACATCCACTCATTTTCTTTCATCTTGAGAAACACTAACCAGAAAAAAGAAAAAAAAAAAAGAAAAAAGAAAACGTGCACAAGACTAAAAGGCGACGCACATGACAAGGATGGGAGCGAGAAACTATAAAAATGGCTTGAGCAACGAAATCACGTAACCTTCTGTTTTTCTATCCAATTGACGAACCTACCAAACACATTGCAATCATTACAAAGATGATTTTATAGAATGATTACTAACACAACAAATTTGGCTCCCTCACTTTAAAAATCACTATTGCTCAAAAGTTGAAAGTTGAAACACCTTGATAGTTATCGATGAAGTTTTGAAATGGTGAAAAGTTCTTCAATAATAAATATCTATATTGAGGATAATCAATTTATCCATTCTTATATATTAAATGTATTTTTTCATATGTTCTTAAAAAAAAAAATCAGCTTTCATATGTTATTGTATATTTATTTATATTTTTTTAAATATATTTTTTGAACAAAATTATCCCTCGTCTTATAATAATAATAATAATCATAATCATAAAAAACTTAACAAAATTTTAAAAACCAAGGAAGTAGGAAAATTAAAAATAAATAAATAACAATAACAAATATAGAAACACAAAACTTGGAGCATCCCAACCAAAATTTAAAATAATCCATAAAAATATATACAACAAAATCCATAGGAAAGTAATGAAAATCTTTAACAATTTGTGTTTCGCAAAACTTATTTTATTGACTTACACATATTTCTATTACTGAGGCTCCACGGACATTACTTTTTTATTTTTTAGATTTTACATGTTAGTTTAAATTTTTGCATTTTTTTGGGGATTTTTATAGGGCTTTCAAGTTTTTAATTTTCTAAAAATAATTTTCTTTTTTTATTTTTTAAATAAAATTTTCACTTTTAAAAGTTTTTTAATTCATTTTTTTCCTAGGGTTGCGGCCATGTTTCATCCAAAAAGTGGTAAAAAAAAAAAAAATACCTGACAGAAAATATGAATATATAAAAACATATGAAAGAATACACTCAATACTATAAAAGTAGATGGATCAGTAACCCTAAGTATTGGGTTAACTCCGCTTTTAATGGGATACCAGTTTAAAACCTTTTTTTGTAAAAAAAAAAAAAAAAAGATAGAAAAAAAGCCCCATTTGATAAAATTCTCATATATTAAAAAATATATATATATATATAACAAAGTCTATTTTTAATTCACTTCTTAACAATAATAGTCCACTAACATCTGTATTAGGTCACACATCACTCACCCTAAACCTCTTGAAGTAAGTGTAAGCAGTACTTTAATAATTGTCAAGGGGCCTTAACATTGAAAAATAAGCATCATGGCTTAATTAAGGATGAATAATTCATTATTCTTGTTAATAATGCCAATCCTATCGTTTTCATTTCTTTAATAAGCTGCAAATACCCTTTGATGTTAACTACCAGCATGAGCGTGATATATCTTTAATTTTATAAGATGGTAGCATCATTCTTCTTCTTCTTTCCCTAGTTGTGTAGCATTTTTCTTATCCCTCTGCCATGAACGCCATGTTGATGTGTGGAACTGCCTTTATTCCACTATATTTTTGCTTCTGCAGGCAGCGCTTTTAGTTTAAGTTTGCAGCATTACTTCATCAAGTACATATTTGTGAAAGTCTTGTGCATCTGAGTTGGTGAAGAAACAATGGTCATGGTCAAATTTTCATTCGAGGGAAATTCTGTACCGGTAATGAAAGTAATTTACCAAGACACGGCCATAATAAGTAAGCATCATTTTTCTTTTCGCAAAACCTCCAAAGCTATTGAAGCATCCTTTTTTCTGCTACAGAAATCACTGTCTTGTTTTTACACATTCAATGAAGTACATTCCTTGGAATTCATCCATTCATACCCAATTTCAGAGAAAATAAGTTCTCTCTTTACATTGAAATTCCCAAAGATGATTTATGGCATGCCTTGAAACCATCATATTTATATTTCAATTTTTTACACTCCATTTCTCAATCTTCTCCTTCCTTCCAACCCCGTTCATTATAATTGAAGGGCTTCAAGAATTTTGAAATATATACCAAAGAAAAGGGAAGGGAGTTTTGCCACTAATCACCTATTCATAAATCCTAGGGATAAGACAACAATAAGACTGCCCTTAACTAAAAAACAAAGCGTAGGCGTGATTAACATTACCTCCTAATCATTTTAAAGCATCTCTAATCTTTCCACACGAAAGGAAAATGTTGTGATTTGGACATCATACTTTACTAACATTTCAGGCTATAATGCTAACAAAATTGAAGACAGCGAAGACTGCAAATTGCGTTTGAGGCAGCTAGCTATAGGGGTGCCTGATACTGACATCCTACCCCCCCATGAGTGGTTAATGCAAAGCAAAGCAATATCTGAGAAATCTATCAAAATTACCACAAAAATTCCCCATAGTGGTCCTCCTCGGTACAGGATTTACGTGCTGGGCAAAACATAGGCAAAAACATGATGCTCAAAATAGAACAATAACCTACCAAAATGGGCAATCACGCAACTACGGAAATTTTGTGCACTAAATGGATTCATGTGATGCTAAAACCCTCTAGTTTTATCTCCACAACCACCAACCAAAAGCAAAAATAAATAAAAATATAAGGGCACCAACTATAAAACAACAACCAGGTAGCAAAAAGAAACAAAAAAAAAAAAACACCTATAAAACAAAAGGGGAAAATATTTTAAATCTGAACGAGGCTAAAAGAGTGAAAGAGAAAGCAGTGAATGCACACACCCATGTGAGAGTGTGGCCCTAACCCATTCATGTCCACCTAAAAGAAACCACAAAATGAGACAAAAGAGTCCCCTAAAGTAGACTTTATTCACATGAAAGAACAATATTTTATTTACCCTGAACTATTTTTTTTCCATGAAAAATGAAAACTTTACTGCTCTACCTGTTCCATAATCTAATGGATGACAGATACTATGACAGCAAAAGTTGAAGCTCTTGCCCGCCACTTGAGACATTGCATTTCTTTACCTTTTAAGGTCTGCATTGGAGTTTAAGACTTAACCTTCTGCTACAGTTCTTTTTAACTTCTTGGGGTAGTCTATTTCTGTACACACTGACATAAGTAGTATTTTTCTTCCACACAGACTTCATTTCTTTTTTTTTTTTCACCTTATAATAAAAGGAAGGTAAACAAAATAAAGAAAAGACTTAAATTACAGACGATAAGGGATTAACTACTAGCCTTTTGTTTGTTCTGCAATGCAATTGCTGTGCGGTCCAGTACACTGAAAACCCAAATACATACCCGCAGAGAGGGTACATGGTGAGGAAAAGAGAGAGACCCCACTCCCTTATAGTTCATCTGTCCTTTATGTATGCTTTTATGTATTCATTGTAAGTAGTATGTATTGATGATGATGGTGATCTTGCTGAGATCTTGTCTACAGATCTTTTTCTTTGTCGAGGTTGTAGTTTTCTGGCTATACAGCTAGAGGATTTCTTTTAACTTCTGTATATGCTTCCAATAAATCTGCATATTAAAAAAAAAAAAAAAAAGGTCCAGCATTGTAAAGGAATCTAATTTCACAAGGAAGTTAAAAAAATTGAATGGATTGTATATGCCTATAATATCCAATTACACAAATTTCGCTCATCTCTTACCCTAAAAAAGTCAAATCTCCCCACTGCTGGCCATGCTCGCTTTTGCCACCTATATGCCAATGGTTCCATGCCCAGAAGACAACCTGAAAAGAACAGATAATGATTTGACTTTCTTCCTTTAATAGGGGGTCATAAGACTGGTGTCATAAAACTGGCGTTTTTATGTGTTACCTCGGCATTTGGAGAAAACATGATTTAAGAGGAGTCATGTTGAGAGAAGTTGTGGGCACTAAGGGGTTACTGTTAGGAGAAGATGCAGTGGGACTTGTGGCATTTTGATTAACCTCCACAGAAGCAGTGGAGAAGGCGGTGAGGTGGTGACCAGCTGATTTCTTAGGAGAAGGAAAGAGATTGTCTGGGAGAATATGCTCCAAACTGCTCACACATGACACAACATCAAGTTTGAGAACGTAAAGGAGAGGAAAAGTAATAGCGAATAGAATAAAAAAATGAGATACTACATTGAAACATAAAGTAGAATATAACAGGAATTAAACAGAATCTGAGAGTATAAATGTGCTTTCTTACTTTTCATGGAGATCACTTTCTTCATCGTTGGACTTCTCTTCCTTATCTCTATTATTGCTATTGCCATCATTATGATTGCAAGCTGGACTCACTTCCTGGTCAGCATCTGCAACAGCATTTTGAGAGACTGCAGTATCAGGGTTGCTACCATTCTCTGCAGCAAGACAATAAGATGCTACCTTCATTGTCTAACAAAATCACGAACCCAAATTAATAACTATTAAGGATTGATTAACTAACCATGAGGAACTTCTTGATCGATGCCATCGATTGGAAAAAAGAGAGATTGATTGTTGGGACTGTGCAAGATAGTTGGTGAAGGAATGGGAGACCCAGTTGACAAAGCATGAAGATATCGATGTTGATGATGATTCTTTAAGTCGAGAAGTTGCAGATTTAATAACCTTCTCCCTTGGAGTTCAATAGCTTGCTGTAAATCAGCCTCTTCCTCTAATTTCCTTCTCAACATCTCTTGAGTATTGTAAAACATTCTACCTCCTCCTACAAACATTTAAACCAGAAAATCTACCTAACTAAAAAGCGAAACAATTTTTCACGAGGAATGGAAACATTTTCGCTTGTTTGCTTACCGAGATGGAGATCAAATGGCTCTCTAGAATTGATCCTGGATGGGCTTGGACAAGCTGAATACTCTTCCCTCTCAATCTGATGCTGTTGATGATGCTTCCTGAAAATGTTAAATTAAGAAAATAACTATAGATGAGCAAGACAGAAAATAAACCGAATTTTTTTCAAGATGATTAGGTTATAGGCATATACCTGTCTGGAACTTTTCCCTTCTCCTTGTAAGGCTTAACAAGCACACGTGAATCACAAACGAAATGCGGGTTCCCTTTGGCCAATATAAGCTTCACTGTCTCTGCAAACACAAATGTAACAAATCCAAACATTCTCTTCTGCTGGTATGGAATCCTCACATCTTGCACTGGCCCATAAATGCTTCAAAATCACACAAGCAAGGAACCCATTTTCAACAAATTGTTCGTAATCCAAATTCTTTTTATGGAAAAACAAGAAAAAAGCTTGCCTAAAATAATTTGAAACATCTTCTTCTCTGAATGTACTATCAGCTGGAAATGTCAAATAGATCTGTCTTGCACTTGGGCTCATTGCCCCTCCCAATCCCATTTGCGAAAAATCATTCCTTTCAGGCCGGATTCTTCCAAACTTGTGAACCTCATCCCCCATCATCAATGCAGCCGCTGCTGCTGATCTAAAACAGCATATTGGAGCTACCACAATTAAAAAACACACCACCAAAAACCCCCCTTCCTTTTTTTTTTTTTTCAAAAAATAGCAATATGGCGAATATAGTAAGTAAAAAATAAAAAAAGGTTTTCAAGTCTCAACTTCATGTGTAATGCATATACCTTTGGCTGTCATTTTGCTGCTGCTGAAGGAAGTTCATGCATTTATTGTGAGGTAAAAAATTAGCTCCAGCCATAAACTGCGAGGCTGCAGCTAGCTTCTTTTGCTGAGCAGCAGCCTTTGACCTAAGTATTTCTTGGCACTGTTCAAGCTCATAGAATTCACTTGGTGAACCGACAATGGCAGCACTGTCAGCCGAATCTCCATGAACAAACCTGCAACCTGTACCATTTTTGCAAAACCCTCTTGAAAAATATAAGCAAGGCTTCCAACCAAACACTGTATTTGAATCTTCAGAACCAAAACACGTGCCTGGTACTGAAAAACTTCGCTTATGCAAACCGTTATCACCATATGCAGTTGGACTCATGGCTAGCTCTACCCTTGGATCAAATAAATCATCTGTCTTTGAATCATTGAGAAAGGAAAAGCGATCCTGGAGTTCATATTCATCAACGAGATCATTAGCACTATTATTGTTTTTGCTAAAAGGAAACGCACTAGATAATGAGATAGTGGGTTGAAAAGGTGTTGAACTAGCATTAATATTACTGGTTCCATTGACGACACTGGCATAAGAGAGTGAAGAAGTGGAGTTAGGACTCAAAAAAGGCCAAGAATTTGTAGAGGGAGAAGAGGGGTTTGTGATGTCAAAGCCATTACTGTTTGTGATTCTTGAAGAGGAAATGGACAAAGGACTGGGTCTAGAGGAAGGAACAAAAGGTGAAGAGGTTGTGGATGGTGTGTTTGAGGGAAACCCCAACTGGGTTTTGGCTTGGAGAATGAGATTGTGCAAAAGGGTCTCGGGGCCAAAGGCTAAACGTATCATCTCTTTCTCTCCATAGTCTTGTAAGAGAAGATAGCCCATGATTTTTGAGGCATTTTCAGGTTCCAAATTTTGGATCCTTGAAAACACGACATTTGTAGCTTCATATGAATCCATGGTGATGGAAAACCCAAGATAAAAACATACCACAAAAACTTCTCCTTTGTAGAGCAAGAAAGTAGATAGGGAGTGAAGGGGATATGGAAGGGATATGGAGGGGAAATGTAGACTTTGTTGAAAAGGCAAATAATAATGGGAATGGGCTTCGCTATTTTAGTGTGTAATGATCTTGAAGCTATAAAAAGGAGGAGATGGAGATGCTGTTAGTGTAAGAAATGGGGGACCTTTTATCTCGTAGGTGAAAACTTACTGTATCTTGAGGAGTAAGGTTTTCAAATGTTTTTGAGCATGGAAAAAAGATAGAGAATCAATCAATGGAAAGTTTGGTTGCGGTGCTCTACTGCTCTCTCTCTCTTCACAAACTTAGAGCCACAACTTTTGGTTGTAGTGCAAACCTACAATTGCATCGGGAGAGTGAACTCACTCACTCACACTCTCTTTCTCTCTCTCTATTTTGTTTTTTTTTTTGGTGTTGGTTTTTGGGGTTTCTCCCTCACTTTCTGCTTTCTTTCTCTTTAAATTTTTTAGGGTTTGTCTCTTACAGAACTGGACAGAACAAGGCTAAGTGGGAGGGGAGATTTAGATCAGCCTCAAAACCAAGAAAGGAAAAGAGCTAACACCAATCGCGCACGCTTGAGCATTTCCCAAAAAAGAAAATTAATCGGATCCGATTGTTTCCAAAGACAAAACCCCTATAAATCTGCACGTACTAGTATAATAATTTAAATTTGATTTTTTTTTAATTTAAATTCTTATTCAAAGAAGGGAGATGGACGCCTGTAAAATATATGGACCATGTGATAATTATTTTTAAATGATTTTTTTATTTAATGGCTGGATTATATTTACTCCTCTTCCATTTTAAATTTGATTTTTAAAACAAATTAGTAAAATCCGGGAGATAAACTAGGATTCCTGAATAGTCTTTCCATCAGCTCAGCCAAGAAAAAGGTGTTGTTTTGAATAGTCATTTAGGTGGTAACATGAGCATGTCGTAGTATACCTTTGAATGTTAATGGCAAGAGATTGGAGGAATAAAATTTATATAAATGCATTAGATAAATATTAACTAACATCTAATAAAAATTCTTAATTTTGATGCTAGTATTCTCGTATCATATAAAAAAATTCATATTATATAAATACACACCACTTGTACATTTTATTTTATTTATTTATTTGAAGGATTTTAATAAATTAGATGACGTTCGTTACGTAGCTAAAACAATCGATGTTATTATGATTTTTTAATAAAAAAGAAAACATAGATGTTGCAACAGTCACAAAATTAACAATTATGCATGTTTTATACACACGAAGTCATGAACTATGATGCTAGATATATATATATATATATATATAAACAGCAGCACCTGAAATTCAAGTTTAATCCAAGACATAGGAAAAAGCAAAAACAAATACGTGCATAATTATCGCTTGGATTAGCATGCCAAGTTGAAGTTTACATTTATACGAACGAGGATTGTACCATTTAGTTAGACTTTTTCAGTTTTTTCTTCACGAGGTCACATGCATTATTATTATTATGATAAAATTTAATACCATTTTGAATAAACATTAAAATAGTGCCTATTTGTTTGATGTTTTTGCAAAGAGACAAAAGTAGAGGAACGAACCATATTTGTCTGGTCTCTCTGTTTGTGAAAAACACGCGCCTGAAACAGCGCATGTGACTACCCGTCCCTTGGTGTTTCGCAATTGTGCATGTTCACTTGCTTTCTTTCTGACACAACTCTCTCTCTCTCTCCTTTGGTACTGTGTAATGAAAAAATTTAAATTAGATTCAGTACCATCTTCTCTCCTCTCTCTCTCAACACTTTTGGAATTACTTCTCTGCATCTACTCACATAGATGCTTCCATATCTCCACCATTTGTTTATTTATTTATTTCTCTCCACCCTAACATTATTCACATGATTGGCTTTGGAGTGTGTGTGTGTATATATATATATACACACACACTCTACTCAGGGTATGTACTGTATCCATTTATATGGAGTACGTACGGCATAAAAGAGGCTTTGTGAATGAATTTTAGGGTCCCCTCCAATCAAGGGCTTAATGGCTTTATTCTTAAATTTTTTGTTTTTTTAAGTCACCTTTCTATGCATTTTTGTACCTGATGATGATGATACATACGTACGAGTCCACGAAAGAATTCTCTTCAAAATGAAACTAGGAGAGAGTAAATTTTAATAAAAGAAAATAAATTTAGAAAGTAAACAAATGATAGATAAAAAGAACGCTGTTAATAAGTTTCAGAAAATACCCATTTAAAAAAAGAAGAAGAAGAAAAAACTGGTAGCAAAAACACACTTGTGTATAAGAGGAACACCGATACAGGATGGCATTAGTACAAAAAAAATAAAAGAAAGAATTTTTGTACACAAAATTAAGTGCAAAGGGCCCCTAGTTACGAGCATTTACCCTCCAATCAACCCCTCTCTTGGTCCTTTGCCTTTGTCTCTGGTAGCATCATTGCCATTGGCCCACGTGCTGTACCTTGGGAGAAATTGGTGATTTCATAATGATTCCCATCTGGAAGTGGGTCCATTTCTTTTATTTTTGTATGTCCAAATAGGATCGTAACTTGGTAGGATTTAAAGCCGGCCCAACCCATAGGATAGGTGGATTTGAAAATTGAAAATTTGTAAGGTGGGTGCATGGATGAAGAAATGGGCTGTTAATCAAATTGAACGCTTACCTTTTCTGTTGGTGGGAGAAAATATTTTTTTTTTCATCTTTTTTTTCCTTTCCTTTCCTTTCCAATATCCTGGAAAACAATCTAAAATGGGCATAGTTCTAAAACTGGCTTATTGGATTTTTCATGCAATAAATGACGATTGTCTTGGCCGAGCATCAATAGGGTGTCTAGCTTGGGAATCCTCTTCTATAGAAGAGAGAGTCCTCAAACAGATAGCTTCCAAAGTTTTTTCAGAAGCATCCAATGTGTTTTTGTTGATCATGAAGGAATTTATCTTATCGAGCAAAAGCGATGACATTAAAAAAAAAAAAGACATTTGTGGGCAATGTAAATCCAACCTTGATAAGACATAATGTTTCAGCCTTTTGCAATGAAGGCCTTGAGCAAGTCCTGTCCTCCTTTGCCTGCTTTACTTCAAATATTCAAGCATTGGCAGCAAACAATATCCCAACTTATCTAGAAGAACCCAAACAAATACATGCCAACCCCCTAGGAAACTAAAAAAAAAAAAAAAAAGAACCACCTTTATTTTCTAGGAAATCAATCCATCAATAATGCCCGCTATAAAAATAAAATGATCTGTTCTGTTTCGTTGCCTTCAAAGAGCTTTGACACAGCCTTCTCTATTTCTGAATTACGTCTCCCAACATCTCGTGTCCCTATATCCCAATGTATCTATTGAAACTGGCTTCCAAGTGATTATATGAAACTCTGTGCATCCTAGAAGTAAAGAGTGGTCAAACAATGGCTCAAGTTTCTAGGGTTCGGACTTGACCAAATTTTAGCATAACCATTTTTTTGTTTTCTGTTTTAGCTTCTGGGCAAACCTTGAGCTCCTAGTCAAAGAGTACATCAAACAAGCCTATATGCCAAGATGAGTATATGGTATACTTGGTGCCAGTGGACATCAACTTTGCACTTATCCTGGATTGTATCACATTTCGTCTTCATAGATATCCCTTTTTCTTTTTTTTTTTCCAAAATTTCTAATATTGAATTTCAGGGGAAGGGGAAGAGCTGCTGGAAGCTAGAGGAAAGAGAGTGAATTACAGGAGTGAATTAAATACATGCCAACTCTCTTTTCTCTAATATTTGAAAATTAAATATGATGGTATTTGTAACTTTCAACATCATTAATTGTGAAATATTAGGAAATTTCAAGAGAATACAATGCTTCATCGTATTTTGTTTTTTTTTTTTTTTGTTAAAAAGAAAACTTTGACTGGAATAGAGTAAAAAAAATGAATTAATGCACCAGATACCTGTTCATTGCCATCCCTAGTCCCACATTATTGTCCATTATATTAATTTTGAGGTTTGAGTTTGATCTGAAGAAGATTCAGCAAAACTGAAAAAACTAACACTGCTCATATTTATAAGAAAGTTAATTACAGTGAATTACAGTAGTAAAGAAATCAATAAGCTCCGCTGTAGAAGTTTCTAAAAGACATATCCAAAAAGAACAAGGGGAGAAAAAGACATCAAAATTTTGTGAAAATTACAAAGGGCAAGCTCATAGCCCATACTACCTGTTCTGCCCAGCTTTCAATGGAGTCTTATGCATGTTTGAACATCTTCATACTAAGCCAATGAAAATACACAGCGATGACCACGATAGGAAGTGTCAAGGGCACCAAGAAGCAGTAATGCCTGTTATTATAAAATTAAGACCAAAATTAGATTATTAAAAACAAAAAAAAAACCAGAAATAAAGGAAATTGTGAACAAAAAAGCCAAACGCAGCAGCTAAGTAAAAATTGCCTGTCGTTTTGAACAGCAGAGATTATAGGATTGTCCGATAATGGAAGAACCTTTGATATTACTGCCGCAAGTAGAAATCCCACAAAAGAAACGGAACCTATTAAGATAAACAACCATCCCCAAATCGTCGACGTTTTGCTGAATCTCACTTGAAAGGAAACCATTATTCTTTCTGGAAACAATTCTGGGGAGTGACCGCAAAAGTGAGGAGACCGTTTGGGAGAGGGATAATTCTGCAAGATACAGTATTTGTCATTCGGGTCGGACAAGTAGAAAAACAAATCTGTATCAAATGGGCCTAATAAAAGCTTAAAAGTTAATTATAACTTGTTCCCATCATTTAAAATTTTATTAGCCCTTGTTGTTTAAAAAACTATTATTGCATCCCTACATATTTTAATCCATTTAATAAGCTAGGGAGCGTTCAAAAGCGAAGTAGTATTAGGGTGAGCATTCAATTTTTGAATTCGAATTCGTAAAATTTTGATTTGATTTTTAATTAACCAAACCACAGGCAAAAACAAAAAGCCAAATCGAATTGGAATTCAATTTTTCAAGTTTAAAACCAAAATTTTGGTTGCCGTTTCGATGTTCAGTTTTTTTTTTTTTTTAATTTAAAATGATTTTTTATTTTCAATTTTTTAATTCTGTTTTTATTTTTTTATTTTTTTGTTGGATATTATGGGCCTTGATACTCAAAGTCCAATTTTATTTCTAAGCCGCGGGCCTTTTTTTGGATTGGGTACTCTAAGCTCATTTCTTAACAACATTATTTCTTAATAATATTTTATCATCTTCGGTTTCTAGCATCCATTATAAAAATACAATTCATTTAGCATTTATAATAAAAATACATCAAGTATTAAAATGTATCAAAATTAACTTCAAAGTCCTGGCATTTCCTATTAAAAACACACACACACACACACACTAATTGAACTAATAATCTATATAAAAAAAATCAAAATATTAATGTATCAAACAAATAAAAATTAAAAATTTAGCCATGCCATTCAAAAAGACCAAATATTCTATAAAAAATTCAAAATATTCAAGTTTGAAAAATTAATGTATCAAGCAAATAAAAATTAAAAACTTGTTAATGTCATTGAAAAAACCAAAACATCAATCCACCGTACATTAATTTCTTAATACCAACTTAACCTCGGAATTGATCGACAGAGATGGCATTTATTAACTTTTAGTTTTTAGCCTCTTTATGAAGAATTTATTTGAAGAAAATATAAAACAGAAGGAAAATATAATAGTAAACTTCATGGCAGGTATTTGGGAAAGGTGCCTTCTTTATGTTGCAATATATCAGTCTATTGAGGCTAGAGAAGAAAATCTAATTAATTTTTTTAAGTAGATAAGCTAGAGTAGTCAGATGTGTATGCAAGAGGCTGCTAAATATTGCAATTTTTTTATCAGCAGACAAAAACAAACTATATATTGTGCTAGTTAGCAAACAGCCAATATCTTGATTATCTATTTTCAATTTTATTTTATTTTTAAAATAATAATAATAATAATAATAATGTGAAATTGTGAATGACTTCTATCTAGCCAGCATGCAGAATGCATGCTCTATTAATTAATTTCTGCAGGTTCAAGATAATCTAAATCAAGTATTACTCTAAGAAATCTTTATTTTTAAAAGTTACAGACTTGTCTGTCAATGTGAACGAAATATAAGCAATTCAAAAGATTCAGCTGCCAGAAATTCTTCGACACTTTGAATTTTGAAAGGACTTTTCGTATACAATATCGTTACTGAAGCAGATGGGGTTCACATAATACACAAGGAACATCCTCGACCAGCATTGATGAGGCTAGGCATCCTGAAGCAAGCAATTGGTTCTTTTTTTATGCCTTTTCTCAGGACTTCCTATTTTCTGCCCATTAATAATCCATTCTCTCTGTTTTCCTTACCATGAAAAAAGGGTCTCTACACATTGAATCAACGAGTACATGATGAGACTAAACTAATACAAAGACGGTTCATTTTCTTCACTCATTGTCTTTGTCTAGCTTAGTCAAAAAATGGGTCAAACATTGCAGACACCATCAGCCTCCTAATAAATTATCCAACCATCTGTTCACTACTTGAAACATGCACCTAATTAGAATTTTAGGCTATGTATTTGGAAATCCAACAACTCATTGATCACAATTCGATTCACTGAATAATTACAGTTTTTATTAATCCCTTTCCTTCTCTTTCAATCCAAGTTTGTTTTGAACAAATTATACATCACAATTTACATAAATAAAGTTCCAATTCCAACTGCCAGTACCCAAAAACGCATCCAAAAAATGGAAAATCTAAGGAAGAAAAACAAAAGCATTTCGATTCACTAGATAAGTATTTGGGTAATCATGACTCACCATGAACTGAAAATCTTAAAAGCTTGAGAGTGGGACTGTGGCCTGTGGGAGACGAGTAGATTAGCAGAAGACTAAAAAATGAAGGATCGAGGGATGCATCTTGAAATCTTCGAGAGATTGCTGACTGTAAGGAGGGGGAGGTGGCTGACGGTTGAGGGCTGCCTGAGGACTGAGGAGGAGGAAGAAGGTGGGTAAGTGAAGAAGAGGGAGGTGGCCGGCGTTTTAGGGATTGCGATTTGGAAAAGACGAGTTTTTCAATTTGGGAGAGGTTTAGCCAGTGAGTGTGAGGCGTGACAGCTTGGGGACTGAGGAATGAGGACTGAGGAGGAAGAAGAAGGTGGGTAAGTGATGAGGGGTCCGGGGGTAGGTGGCTGACGGGTTAGATAGGGATTACTAATTGGGGGAGACGATGGATGAGTTTTTCAATTTGGGGAAGAAGGTGTGTGAAAGGCAATGAGGGGGAGGCGTGCGTTAGACAGAAGTAACGAGTGATATAATTGTTGATCTGGATTAAAAAATAAAATAAAATAGTATTTTTTAATAATTCGGTTATTCGGTTTAACTGGTTTGTTTTTTTAACAACCGAACCGAACTCAAAAATCGAAAATTTTTCGGTTCGATTTGTTTTAACTTTAAAAAAAAAAACCACGTCGAAACTAATATTTCGATTCGATTCGATTATTTGATTTTTATCCGAACAGTGAACGACCTACCCAAACCCTTACTATAAAACACTCTGCACCAAAAAAAAATATCCCCAAATTCTAGACAGAGAAACCTGAACAAACCACCCTACAATTTCTAGAGAGAGAACATTCGATAGTAATGGCAAACACAGAGGCCGAAGCGGTGGATTTTGAGCCAGAGGACGATGATTTGATGGACGAAGACGGTGCCGTCGACGTTGACGCATCCTCCTCGCCGCGAGCTCCACTCCCTAAGTTGAAGTCAGCTATTACCGGAGGCAGCGCGCCTTCTCTGTCCGCTCCTAAAAAGACCAAAGGCCGTGGCTTTAGAGAAGAGGTTGATGCGGAGAGACAGAGCCGCCTCTCCGGTCGTGGATTTGATTCCCTCGGTTCTGATGGTGGTCCTGGCCCCCAGCGATGTGAGTGAACTTAAACCCTAGATACTTTTTGCTTGTTGCTTGAATTATAGGATTTCAAGGTTGATTGCAAGTTTTTCTTTTTTTAGGTTTTTGATTGGTTTTTAGCGAATTTTGAGTTTGTTAGCTGTTAACCGATGTGGTTGATTTTTATTTTTCTAGGTTACCATTGATAACCTGCTGTGTTTGTTTGCATGTTTAATGCAATTGAAAAAACTGTGAAATCCCCACTCTGAATTTTGTTTGTAATAAACGGTATATGACATTGAGAGTCTTAAAATAATTTTAGATACTCCTAATACACTTGCCTCTAATAATAAGCTAGCTCTACGTCAGATGGAAAACATTCCACATTGTGCTAAGAATGCTATATTCGCTTGGGGAGCCTCCAAAACTAATTTGTTTTGATCTAATTTTATTAGCTAGAGTACAAATCTATCAGACAGTTCCCATTGGTGTTTCGCAAACAGTACCCCATCTATTTAATCATTCCATAAAGCAATCTGTGAACAATCCTGATGCTTTGAAGCTCTCATACTGTGACCAAATAATGTTTTGTTGTTGCTAGCTGTTTTCTCTTATCATTTGTTTAAAAAAGTACTCCTCTTGTTCCGAAACTTGTGATGTATGGTAATTGGTCCATCTATTTGCAGCTGTTGAAGGATGGATAATTTTGGTGAGTGGAGTACATGAGGAAGCACAAGAAGATCATTTGCAAGATGCTTTTGGTGAATTTGGGGAAATAAAGAATTTGCATTTGAACCTTGATCGCCGCACTGGTTTTGTTAAGGTGAGCAAAATTTTTCCTTTACCTGTCTCTCTTTTTTAATTTTTGTTATTATCTTATTTGTAGTCAGTTGGTTCTTTTGTTAAGTTGGGAGTCTATATTAGTGATAACCATTGTTAGATTGGAATTCAAAACACAAAGATGAATTTTACTGCAAGTCCCTTCACCTCACTGATTTTTGGTTTGGAGCATTTATTCTGAGCTATTTTACATTTCAATTGAACTCAAATCTGAGTGATTCAAAATAGTATGCAGCAGTCTCACTTTACTATAAAGTATAAATTGTGGGTTGAATCTTCAATTGTTAAGATCATAGGCATCTCCTAAAAAAGAATCATCTATATTCAATTTACGAGTTAATTGATGCTGAGAAATTAGCTGCGGGAACTCAGATTTATGTAATCATTCTGAAATGGTGTCTATATACTGCATGACTGTATCATGATTCTTCTTGATTATCGAAAATGATCTACCATTGACTCCACTTAAATTATGTACTAAGTTTCTATCTCCACATGCTTTATACACCAGTTGAACCTTGCTCAGAAGGTTGTGTATGGTGCTGGGCTTTGTGGTAACTGAAACAGTAGTGGTTTTGATGAGGCTTGACTGTCTCTCACCATTTCCAGTCATGGTTAATTGTGTGTGTGAACTGTATTACACATATGTGCACGCCCAGGAGAGAGAGAATGTGCTGCTATTTAGGATTTTTGTTGGTATTGGTAGCTTAGATTGCTGTATTGATATGATAGCAGTGCATGTGTACACGATTCATGGTTGCATACATTTGTTGTCAAGGAAATTTGGTAACTTGTCAGTTTTAAATTTTTAAAAGCAGCTAATGTTCTATTTTATTTACTTTCAAGGAATTGTTTTCCCAAATACTGTAAAGGACAAATTTTAGCGTGAAGTGGTTCTTGCATTTGAGGAAATTTGGCTTCGTAGTGGTTTATCAAATTAAATCTTTGTTAAATATACACATTCCACACTGAATAAAGAATCATAACATTGAACATATATGGAGCCACATGTAATTCTGTTAGTTGGATAGCATGGTATTGATTCAATTGGATTTTGATGCGGTCAAATTCGGTACTTATGTACTATATTATTTTGCTGTTCTCGGTCCTGACAAAACTTTATATCTTGATTACTGATATGATTTCTTGCCTTTATTGTGATCACGAGAATTAACGAAAACATTGGCCTGTTGTCTTTGCTGAAAATCTTGAAACTAGCATTCTTTCATTAACTTAACACGTAATACTTTATTTATTTATTTATTTATTTATTGCAAGGGCTATGCACTGATAGAGTATGAGAAGTTTGAGCAAGCAGAGAATGCAATAGCTTCAATGAATGGGGGAACATTGCTTGAACAGGCTATCTATGTTGATTGGGCCTTCAGCAATGGCCCCAGCAATGGGGGCTTCAAAAGAAAGAACATGAGGTTTGTCTTTATGCATTACTTTCATAAGGTTATAATTATTGGATGTGATATATTATTAGAAAGAGAGGATGCCAATGAAATTACATAAAACCTCAGTAATGATCAAAGTTACTCTAGAAGTTTGAAAAACATTTTAATATCTTGGGTCTTCAAACTCTGTAAATTTTGTGTGGAAGTTTTAAATTTTATCTCAACCCGCCTGTTATCTGTAACGGAAAACTTTGGCCATTAATGATAGATTTAGGAAAAGGTTGTATGACCAGACTCCCCCCACCCCCCGCAGCAAAAAAAAAAAAAAAAAAAAAAAAACCTGTTAAATTCAAAGTTCTGTTTATATTTGGTGAAAGAAGAACAAAGCATAGTACTCTTCAGTTGGAGCAAACATTATGGAGAGATCTTAGATAATGTGGTAAATTCACACTGCTTCTAACTACATTGCATTAGCTCAGACTTCGACAAATTGAAAAGAGAAGAGTTAGTTTTGATGTGGATTTTCTTATGAAATAGTCTTGGCATTTTTAAGAGGCTTATAAGCTATATCTTGCATCTTTCTGCCCTTTATTTATTTTTACTCTTTTGAAAAATTTAATTTAGAATTTGGCTTTACATCGAGTACCGAACACAAATGAGCACAACTTCACAAGTAAATGCCTATGGGTGATGTTATGGCATGTCCATGTGGAAAGGAGCTGTCCATTACTATTACATGACTCCCAATCCAGTTCTATATATGTGATAGTATCTTCCTGATGCTATATGCATGATGCTGTCCTCTTTGACTATACATGGATTGCTTCAAATCTTGAGTTAGATTTTGTCTGGCTCATCTGCTATTTCTTTAATTGTGTTGGCAGGGAATTTAACTTGTTGTCTTTTAAATTTTTGCAGACCTGGACGAACACATCGCTCAAGGAGTCCTAGGAGGAGATATTAATGGGCTGTGATTTCTGTTATGAAGGTGTATCAGTTTTCATCAAGGCATTTGATACTTATTTATCATGGAAGATTGGTTGATACTTGTCTTCAATGGGTTTATGAATTGATCATCTGTTTGTTGAGAATCCTGCAAGTTTCTTCCTTTTCATTGAATGGTGCTTGGCCTCTGATTTACACTAATTTTTAAGTTTAGTAATCTTTGTGTATTTGGCTCTGATTTTGTACTAATCTTAAGTTTAGTAATCTGGTTTATTTGGCTACCTTAACATATATATTTTTTCAGTACTAAGATTTTTGTGAGGCTTTTAAGAGGAGGCATTTTCAGTAACTTCTTTTGTGTTGAAAGATTCTTTTGGGTGCTACCTGCCGAATTTGAATACTGATTTGGGTTCCAGAGCAAGCGGTGTTTCCCTGGCAAGGAATGCCAATATTCTTATATGCTAAAACATTATCATTTTGCAATTTCGTACATCAGTGACACTGGGAAGCTATCGCTGCTGTTTTTCTCCAACAAAATTATGTGAAACTGCTCTACAATATGAAGGCACAAATATGCTCTGAAAGAGCCCATCGTTCATGTTGTTAAAACCACTAGACATTTATAGAATAGAATGCACTGGAGCTTTTTTCAAGGCATTGACAATATTGTCATCAAAAGCTACACAAACAAAATATTTTCCCTTAGAAAAACTAGCTAAAAATTACGTACTTCCATTTTGTTTGATATCATTATGCACTCCACTTTGTGATGAATGGTGGTGGAGGTACGCATTCGAAGAGGAAGAAAACCTCTAATGTGGCTAGTTTATTTGCTTGTCAGAGTATCATTATTACCAAATTACCACATCCAGAGGATACCATGTCAATGATATGATATGATCATTATTGGTTAATAAGTAATATCCATATTCTGCTGGGCATGCTCCCAGCTTTGCGTCCTTACCGTTGAAATCCTTCCCTGTACAAACTGACTTGTTAGAAATTTTGTTCCCGATGGTTCTGCTCTAATTCCAGCTTGCTCTCCCCCACCACAGCAAGCGGAAAAAAAGTATACTACTTTCTGCCATCTCTTCTACAAAATTCGTAAATTTGTAGTGGTTGATCTGTACATGTATGTTTCTGACATGTTCTTTTGTATGTTGTATGTTTTCTTCATGAAGCCACAGCAGTCCAATAATTGGCCATGCATAAGGTTGTTGGAGTGCCAATAGTTTGTGACCATACCCAATGTGTGCCCTCCACTCTTCGCATCTCTGCCAACTGCCATAAGTATTAATGTGAGCACCATTTTCAATTTTGTAATCTCTCAAGTTCTTTACTTGTTCGTGTTACCTTGGACTAATGTTATTTCACATTAGAAGCTTGGAACAACTAGAAATTAAGAACACTAATTGCAGATATAAAGTATAATTGATAGCTCAATCTAAATAAAATTTCTAATGAGGTTGTCGTCAAGAATGTTAGTCTGTTTCCAAGAGAACATTTGCTGACATACGTAGTGTTTTTAGCTTTTATGAAATGTTCATGCAGTTTTCATGTTTTAGTCCCAACTCCATTTTCTAGGTCTGTTTGTATGACATAAAACTCACAGCTTTTTCTATGTGAATTAGAACAAACCGGACATCTCAAGTCAATTTTTGTTCGTTGTTAGAAATCAGAAACAGCGAATGAATAAGTGTTCCTTACTCTTCCATCCTTGAGCTCGAAGATAAGTGAATCATCAGAAAATGGGATTGGCCTTGTTGGTGCCACCTGTGAATGTTTAGAACACCCGTCATTGATTTCCCATCACCAATGCTGCGCCGCAGCCAGTTGGTAGATGCATTTTTTTTATATAAAAAAAGGAAAAGATACTAATACCAACCTTGGGGTCACAGTTTCTATCAAAATCACTATACTTTTCTGCAACATTCTCCAAACTAGCTGCAAAATTTTCATCTATGCAAACTTCTTCATTATTGTCGTTCCCACCCTCTTGTGCTCGATCTTCATTCTTTAGTTTTCCCACATGTGGGAGGCCACAGTTTTTCCATCTCCATGTCATTTTGTCCATATACCTAACATATACTTTTTCATCTGAACCAACAAGAAAAAGTTGATTACCTTCAAAACATGGGCTAGGGGAAGTGATCAAGGTTACACCTTTATTAGGGGTTCCATGTTCAATCCAATTCCAGCCATCACCAGTATTCCAATGATATTCAACTAGTCCACCATCTTCTGAAAGCATAAATAGTGAGCCTGCAAGTGATAGTGATGATGGCCTCATAACAGTTCCTGGCAATCTTGATAGAATCAAATGTTGAGACTGATAATGCTCATGCCACAATTCAGTCACTTTGTTATACTGGTATAGCCTCCCATTCCTTCCAATGACAAACACTATGTTGTCCCGGAACAGCTCCTGATCAACGATACTTGCAACTTTGGTATTTGGAGGGTTTCGACAATCTTTCCATTTGAATTTCCTGAGGGCAACCTGCACAGAAAATTTGATTAAATGATCGGCGATGAGCTGCTCTATAATTCTGGGAAAATCACAAAAATACTTTTGTCTGCTTTGGCTTTCTATCCTGGTGCGTGTGTTTAAAGTTAGTCCAGAATATTTGTTTCTATTCATCATTACTACTTATTTGGATGGTGACGATGAAAATGACAATGTGAAAGATTAAGTGAACCATAAGTAGGAAAATAAATTCTCTGATGATTTAAATTTTTGGACACATGGGAGTTATATACCAATCAATGGTTTCTGCTACTTACTGTGAACTGCAGCAGTCTTCCACTTTTGCTCACGAAGAAGATTGCATCTTCTGCTGTAACTTTCAGAGCTTTACCTGGAATTCCATCCCATGGAGGGCCTCCAATAACATGCCCAAGATTCCTCATGGCAGTGCAATTTACCCATGCTAACTCCTCACCGCTCCTTTCTCTCATAAGCAGACTCCCATATATGTCTACCAAAAACAGGCTTCCATTGTAGTTTCCAAGGGTACCTTTCATTGGTGTTGGGTGGTCATGCCTTAGCCAAAGCCATAAATTTTCAGCATAAAGATACTCAAAAGTCAAACCACCATCAGTAATAAGGAAAAATGATTTTCCTCCATGCATCATTCGCATACGGAAGTTAGTGTTGATCCAATTATCTGGGAAACTGTATTCTTTGGAAACTTTCTTCGATCCATTAGCTCCTGCGAATAGGTAATCTTGTTGCGCTTGACTTCCCTTTCGCCTTCTTGCCGTTGATCTTGTAGTTCCCTGATCATTTGGCTCATCTTTAATGCCTGCAAGGCAGTTCATGGGTCCACGTTCTTCTCTGCAATACTCTGCATTCCACCCTTCAGTCTCTGGGGCATCTAACATTGTCCATGCATATTTAACAGATGCTTTTTTTCGGAAATTTACTTGATGATTCGGCCCTGTATTTTCTCCGCCTAGTCCAGGCAAATGCAATTCTGCAAGTCTACCGTCATGCAATGGGAAAACCATTCTGCCAACTTGAAGTTGTAGCCCAGAAATTCCACTTGCAACTTTTGCATGCGGAGGATGCTTATGACTCAACCATGTTTCAAGAATTTGGTCTTCCTGATCAGTGCCTGGCATCAAGTGAAAACAATCGATCTGGCTTACAGTAATTTTGCCACAAATAGCAAACATATTTCCATGACACATAAAGGTGCAAATCACTCGAAATCATGGTGTTTTATCTTATTGAATTATTAAAAAAATCCACGATCTACCATAATTTTTTATTTTTATTTTTTAAGAAATGGTTCCAACAATGATATGGTTCCAGCAATGATAAGTCATATATTTCTGATTTTTGTTCTTCCAAAATTTCTTTACTAGGCTTTTTGATAGCTATTAATTTCATTCAAGAAATAGTGCAGATGAATAACCTATTGTAGATACTCCTACATTTATTTGTTTTGTTGCTAGGTAGATGCATTGCAAGCTTCTCTGTTGTGCCATATCCATGGATAACTTTTCAAATATACAAAGGTCTTTGACGGAGGAATGAATACAGAAGAATGAATTCCAATGCCATGAGAATCTTAATGTGCAGTTAGAGGAAATTATTTGTTATTTTCAGGTCCTTTCTGTTTCTCACCAGCCAGTCATGGCGTATGGAATTCCCTAGGAATTTCAAAATTTGCTCTTTCCCTTCCCTGGTATAGGTTATTTGGAACTTTCCAGTCCTTTGATGACCCACCTTAACTATTCTAAGGGGCAGATAAAACCTACTTCCAGAATTTGGATTACCCATTTAAAATATATTTATAAACTGGTTACTTAATCACAACTCAGTGGAACACCATTCTTTGATTGCTTTCCAGAAGATGTGTGAAAAAAAAAGAAAAGAAAAACATATGTAGGTTGTCTTTGTTATGCAATTTTCCTTCATTGAGTCTGAGGAATCTGATTAGAAAGCACAAGAAGAATAGTCAAAGCTGAAAAAGCCTCATCATTTTGAGATTCAGAAGAATTTATAGTAACTGCTTCACTCACCTGACTGTTTTGATATTCGATACTCAAAAACCGATCCAGAGGATGAGGTGAAAAATAATGACAAGAATTTTTCTCTTGTTTCATCTTGTAGAATTGGTGTGATAGATGTCAACCGATAATCTTTGGGACTTCCATGGACTATCCATTTCCACTTCCTTTGGTTTAATCGTCTCTCTACCAATTTACCACCCTGGATGTACACACAAAACATTGTGATTAGAGGCCAGACAATCATTTGGCTTCCTGGAAAACAAGAAATTTTTCATAATACTTCGTTCCGCACATTCTCCCCCTATTCGTGTTGTCTTTTTCTCACTTACTCTTGTGTCTGTGTAGATAATGATATTTACAGATATGGTACCTTGGTTATAAGAAAAAGAGATACGGAATAGTCTCCACTCAAGCCATGTAGTGTGCATCCCATTGATGGCATCAGAGAAGCATCTTCCACTGTTCCTTCTTTCCATATATGCTTTTTCCAAGATGGCTTTGAGCTCCTATCATATTCATAAAGATCACCTGTAGAACTGCATGCAGCACACTTTGCTTCAAATGACAGAAGATATAACCAAGAGCCACGGAGCCAGCTTAGCCACAGAGCTGTGGCATGACTGGACGTTTTCCTACGCAGAATTTCTGAAAATAACTACTGGCATATTTTATTTGATTTTGCCAGTACACTTATCAGGACTCGAAAAATAGTAATTTCAATTGCGATATACTTTGTGTTAGCCTGTGTTAGTATTAAGTTGAGTTGCATTGAGTTGTTGATTAGAGAGAGATCTCACCTTATGGTATATACTACTTCTGGTCTAATAGTAGCGGCATCAGCAATTGCCGCAACATCTGCACCAGGTGGTCGCCCATGATTTTCCCATCTGTTCTATGTGTATAGCATAAACTTCGTTAATATTAGAGTCTCCCCATCAGAATCTACACTGTAAGCAGAGACTGACATTCAAAAACAATAAAACTAGTTGTAGCTATGATTGCTTTTAGTTTTAGAAATGAAAGTTTTACCTCGGAGGCTCTGCCTCACTAAGTTCTAATAATGAACCATTCTTTGTGCAGAAATAAATTTTCCTGGCAAGTAATGCAGTGAAAGCAAGGAGTTAATTAGTACATTTGCTGCAGTAAAGTAACGTGATTATGCTGTTTCGGACTCTTGGTATGTATAATTCACTGGATAGAAGGTCTTGAAACTGAAATGATGCACTCACACCCCATCATGCGAAATGACACCGGACTTTATTAGGATCAATGAACTTTGTTCTGCTTCTTTATTTATGCTTTCATCGACAGTAGGCTTGAACTGTACCCAAATTGGCTGTGAGCTCTCACTAAGTAGCATCTGAAAAGGAAAAGACAATGATAAATGATTCAAAACAAGAAACAATATTGCATTTGGTAGCTGTAGTGTGCAGTAAATCCATTTTTATCAAGCAGACGTGAAATCACGATTGGGCATCAACTTCAGATTATTCACTGAATTTGTTAGCACACATGTCCTGAAGTAGAAGAATAAGTTTTGGTTTCAATTTTAGCAGTATTATTTGCTTATATACCGAAAAAATCGTGGGACCATTGCATGAGCAACCTCAAATACAAAACGTGGTAGAGCTAATTAACAAGGAGGCAGTCCAGTTTATGCAAAGTGCCGTGACTGAATGTCAGACTTGAGTTGTGACATGGCTACACTGATAAAAAGTGCTTGTACAACACAGATTGCAGATTAGAAATTAGATGGTTACAAGAAAAAAAGGTATGTATAACTTTCCTGATGGAATCATTTACTAGAGGAACAAAAAAGGCTCTTGCAACTAATATGCGATCAAGGTTTGCTGATCTACAAGTCTGATAGTATTAAACATCTCTGCCTCACCAAACTAAAACTTACAGAAACAGGATAGAAATAGGGTACAAAATAAAGGGGCAAAATATAAATGATTTTAGAAGTAATAGAAACCACGAGCTTTTTTTGAATTAAGCTTGATAATTGGAAAGATGTCTCGTAATATAAGGTTTATTCCAAAATCATAGAGACAGCAACTTTTATGAGTTTATCTGATTATGCAGCAGAAAAAAGATTAGTACCTGATATAGGATTCCTGCTTCTGATAAAGCAAGAATTGTTTGATTGACAAAAAAGATACAGATTGCATGACCAGTCAATATTGGCAGATCATGGGGTGCTATCACCCACTGGACTCCATTCCAGAACCTCTCATAGATAGACCCACTTTCACCAGTGACCCAAATGGATGACTCGGACATTTTAGTCAAAGAAATTCTCTTCCTCAAAGGCAGAGCAATCTCAGAATTCTCTTCTATTCGTCCATCTCCATCCTTTCTTTTCAAACTCTCAGCTTTCTTGGTAACATAATTTTCTCTTTCTAAGTGCTCTTCTGCATCTCTTTTTACTGGATGAATTGAACCCACTTTAGTACAGTTGTCATTAACACATGAGACAAGGTCATATGGCAGTTCCACTTCAACCCAGGTATTGGATTGTTCTTGGAACTCCCAGAAACGATCAGTTTTCTGCTCAAATTTTCTATTCTTTTGTTGAGCATAGTTATGTGGGCACCAAGAAGCAGAACCAAAGCTCAATGACAAGAGGGCCAAGATGATAAATATTAAATGAAACAAAGACATGGTGGCATGAGAGAATCTAGTGATAATAGGGCCAGAATCCAGATGCATACAGAAAGACTTGCAAACAAAGATATGCAGGTGGTGTCAAGTACAAGATAGTTTGGTTTTTTGTACCATCTGTGGTGCCCCATAAAGGGCCATAACAAGAGAGAGACCACAGCAAACTACTCAAAGGACTTGACCATCATTGTTTGAAAAACAAGGAGCTCTTTTCATGGCCTTCTCAGCAGAACAATATTAAATCCACAGGGAAGGTTGTGGGGGTCCGAGGTTGTTAAAATTGGTAGTATAGCTTCCCTTAGATTTTAACTACCTCTTTATTTGTCAACTCTCTGGGGTAACAATAACAAAGGCAGTGATGAGGCCAGTTGGTGGGGTTTGCTCAACTTTCTTACTACTTTGTAATGCTGTGAATGTGCTTCACATTTCTTAGCGGCTAATAATGACCTTCTCACCTAATTCATGACTTGTGACTTCGTGCCGAGTTTTTTTATTTGATTATATGAGTTAATCAATATGGTAAAAGTAAAAAAATAACTTATTTGTGCGGAGAATTCTTGCTGCTTTTGTAAATTGATTCCTTTATTGAACTCCCACCCCCCATGATAAGGAATAGATTCACTGCATTGTATGTTGCATATGCCAAAAGTTCGATCAAATGATAAGATGATCATGGCCATCCAATTCAATGTGATTGATGATCATTGGCCACTTGACTGCCTTTGAGTAGGCTTATGAACATGTGTGTGTGTATATACATATATTCAAAGAGATGAGGTGAGATGCCATTGATATTTTCTTAGGAGTCATTCTCGTTAGTCTTTAAAAGAGACACGACAACACTGGCGGCAAGTTGTGGAACTATAACTATCTCTTTTTCTTGTTCTTTATTTTCTAATTCAAATTAGAATCATTCTATAGACTAGATAAGCAATGGAAATAGTTAGCATACAACGATGGACCTTTACTGGTATGATCCTCTACAGCTCCATATGTGAACATCATGGACATTTTGAGACGCTAAGACTCTTCCTTGTTGAATGATTGGTGTGATGAATCTGGACTGAGAGGCCTCATCATCGAAATGATTTCTTTTGTGGCCATTTGATTCATCAATGGCCTTCACTTGCAGGGTGCCACTTGTGGGGTCTGCGCAAGATTTGTGAGGCCTTGGAATTGGAGTTAAACATGTGTGTGGTTCCTATCAAAGTGGAATCTTGGGTAGGCAACGTCAAAGAATCTGCAAAGGACAGTTGGCTATCAAGATTCCAGTCTCCTTATCATATGGGGCGTGCTTAATTGGCTTTGCATTTTGCATCATTTTGTGATCAACAAACAAATAATCACCTTTTATGTAACTTGGAAGATGAACAATTAAAATAGGAATTTATGTTGAATATGATGTGCTTTGTCTGCGTACAAAAATACTCACCTTTGAGAAAAGAAAGAAAGATGGGACTTGTTTCTCTCCAATAATCATTTTTGGTGTGAAATAATACCAGCAGGAAGGTGTCAAACCCATCGTTGTCTCAGGAACAAGTGGTTCTCAATGCATCACGCCGCTAGGTATGAAGCATGGAAAATGATTTCAATCACTTCGAATAACCTTCCACCGTGCATGTTTGGAGTTGGAATATTGTAATAATATATGCTTCTATGTATAATTTTTTTATTTGGATTATTTAATATTCTTTTTGTCCAAATTTGTTTGTGTACGTTTACATTTAGGGATGTCTCAAAATATTTATTCATTTTCTAAACGAAACACGTGAAAAAAAAATGATTTTTGAATCATTCCATCCATCCTTTAATTAATTATAGCTCTCTTCCAAAATATCAAGGATTTTTACATTTTTCAATTCATGAATAGTATTGAAAATTTGCACAGACAAAGCAAAGCAATAAATAATTGAAAATTTAAAGATAAAAATAAATAAATAATTGAAACTTCAATTGTGGATAAACAAATTGGGACGGAGTAAGCAAGTTGTGTAGAGATATGCCTAATAGAATGTCGATAGCTAGGATGAGTACGCAAAGCGCCTTTTGTGGATCATGGTGGGTTTATACAGTTTTATGACCCATTAATTCATTGGGGCGTTAGCAAAGAACTTTCGCCAAGTGGTGGTGGAAGGCTGACAGGGCTTACTAGCTCTTTCCGTCCACTATAATTGTTCTAGTAGCCTTTATGGCTGAATTGCCCTGGAATTGGGTGCTGAATTCTTCAGCCAAAACTTTGTATTTTGGATGAATTTCATTTTCTAAGAATATATTGTTATTCCTGCCACACAAAAAAAAAAAAACATAATTAAATAATAAAAATTAATACAATAAATAAGTAAATTTATTATACATTAAAATAAATAAAGAATTGAAACTCGTTTACCTTAATCTTCAAAGAATTCAGGATTAAAATCATATTATCATATCTTACGATATAAAGATGATCAAACCATCAAAATAATTTTATCATAATTTTAGGTGATTGGCTCGAGATACAACTAGTGTTACTTTCTTAAGACGATACGTATCATTCGCAAAATTTATCCGATGCAATAGATAAAAAATATATTACATGCCATCTCAAGGATACAATAAGCTCGACCACTTTGTCACATCTTAATAAATTTACACTATTTGTAAAACTTAAAACTTTAAATAAAATAGTACCACTCTTACTCAAACATAAAATTTAAAAACTATATGGCTTTTGAAAAGAGAGACTAGAAAATAAAATAAAAGGCATGATAGCGATTTTTCTTTGGTGCTCCCAATTTTCCCTTATCAAAATAATATATAGTGGTAAAAATTGTCCCATTGGACAACAAAATTAATTGTCTGAATAAATGCTTGAAACGGTAAAAGAAAAAACGTTTGAAAATAAATATAAAGGGACCGTTTGCCATTGAATAAAATAAATAAATAAAACTACTAAAAAAAATTGAATGGTACCTGTTGAAAGTGTTATGAAACAGTTTCAATAACACTTTTGTATGTGTTTTCAAAATGTACCATGCGTTTAATATGTTGTTAATTAGTAATTTTTTAATAATAAATTTTCCAATATTTTATTAAAATATAGTCCAACAATACCCCATTTGTTTTTCAATAAAATATAAGCCATATTTTTGGATAAGCAAACAAACATAATATATAATAAGAGTGTCAATAGGTTGAACCCTTACTTAGTGTCTCAACAACATTTATCTCAAGTCAATAATGAACATTGTCCCGAACTAAGGCTTTTTAAGTGAAACAAATATTGTATCACACATATTATATTCAAGATACTCTACAACGAATTTCGTAGCCACCATATTAACGCATTGTGCTTGATCCCAACTTCTATAAATGTTCTAGAGAATTAGTCCGATTCTCATAGAAAGCGACCCCACTTCCTCACTCAAATAGGTGTGTCTACCAAGGATGTTCTCATATCTCTAACATTTCATTCAAAAAGTACTATAAACTACATTAAAAGCTTCTTTTAAAGAAACTTAACATATCTATCGTTATGAGATTCATGCACTACACATAAGGATAGACAGATGAGTATTGTTACTCCAATATATTGTGCATATAATCAAATCACTAAATGCTTGTTCTTTTCCTTAAACCTAGTTATTGAGATCTCCAAGTCCTTAGGTAGAGTATACACATATGTGATTTTATTCACTTATCAATCCTAGGTAGAGTATCCATGTAGATGATTTTATTCATTTATGAGTTTAGTCTAATCTTTTTTTATATATCATCCAATCCTTTGACTTTAGCTAAAGATTTACTCTCACAATATTCAATATACACTCAAAGAATTAGGTAACTAGAACGTAATTAATTTATTAGTACCGAGATAAGTGGTAGGAATTTTTCATACTTATTATTTTTCTTTAGACAACGTATAACATTCATTTTTTTTTCACCGGCATCCACTTGTTTTTTCATTGGCTTTGGCTTTTTAGCCAATTTAAGTTTCATCACACATACACTAGCCAATGATAATCATACTTTTATTTATTTCTCGCATCGTCATCATCATCATCATCATGCTAAAGCATGGTGACATCATTATATATTTTTTTAATACAATGGAAAACATTTAACATAATCTCATTGAGCATTATATTTTTTTTAATATAATGGAAAACATTTAACATGATCTCATTGAGGTGAATGGAGACATTTTTGGATCTCTAGTTTCTCATATAAATTTGATATCAATGTATTTCATCTATATAATAGGAATGTCAATATTTAGCTAGAGATTTAAATTTATCAAAATATCACCAATTGTCCTATTAGAGAATATCATTACAATATCATTGTATCTTAATTATACAATAGGAGTGTCTTTAATTTCACTTATCGATTATATCATCAAAAACACCATCATACCTTAATTTTACAATAGGAGTGTCACCGATTCCATCAATTCTCTTAATATTTTTACCAAATATTTCATAAGCATCATTATACCTTTTGTATAATAGGAATGCTTTCATAAATATTTCTAATAGCATCACATTAAAAATTTGTATGTGACAAATAACTAAAACATCATGAGAAAAATTATGATAATTTATTATCATGAGAGAATTATGATAATTTATTTTGAATTGCATAATAAATTTCTCAAACAAAATTTTAATGCAATAGCATTTTTTTTATGCCCTCACTCGTTTACATAATAAATAATTTTCTTGCTAACACCGTAGACAAAGTGATGACATGAATTATTTTATTATTTCATCATCAACATTTATAATTTATTTATTATGGCTAAACAATTAGCAAGATATATTTTTTAAAAATAAGATAATATATCAAATTTTTATTTTTACATTGAAAATAATATATGAAAAAAATTATTTATTAAATCATGAATCTTTATCTTACTAATAATCTGCTAATAAGATTATTATTTTCACGATTGTTCAAAATGCCACAATCGAGTAAGGATATCAAACAATTTTAACACGAGTCACATAAAAATAATTAAC